ATTTGAATTTTTTTTTTTACATTTGAGCAAAGTGGATTATAAGTAGGCTTAGAATTTTAACTGATTATAAGAATCAATTAAGTAAATTGATTATAAAATCTTATTGAAATTTTGCTATAAAATGCATAGTTGTATTTACTTTTCTACCAACACCATGACTTTCAAACTCTTAAAACTTCATGGCCAATGCATTTCTCTAATCCTTGCCTAACACTAGGCATCAGTTTGATACTCTTAGATATCTTAACTGCTTTATCTTCAAAGGATATTTAACTCAATATAAAGCACTTTTTCTAGGAAAATATGTCTATTAGCTCTGGGAAAATGAAAATTCCCTTTCAAAGTCTGAAATTATGATGATTAATACCTAAGTTAAAACATAGATTTTCTGATATGCTACTTTTGTGATTTTAATTTTTCATTTATTAAAAATCCAAGTCTGCACTGTTATATAAGCAAACGTTACACTTAAATAAACAAAATCAGTTAACAAAATATTCCTAATTATAATCACAAGTTTTTCATCAAAAATTAAAGCAAAATATGTATACAAAACCAAAGTTATAAAAATAGCCACATGCCAGTAATTAATCAATCTTCATAATTATGTTCTTTGAATTTAAGATATACTTTTTTTGCTGTAAACTCTGACACTAACTTTTTGAATTATCCATCAAAAAACTTTAAGTAATAAAAAATGTATAACCATATGGCAAAAACCAAGCTAATCTTATCATTTGAATATATAATATTTTCCCTCTGTTACATTTTCATGCATAATAAATATGCATTCTTTTATGCTATGGTGTATCTCATTCATGAGAATTTTTTGACAAAAATGATTCAAGTAGGAAGAACTCAAAACTTCTTTCAATATGATTTAAAGTGATAAAACAAGTTTGTCCCAATCCTGCAATCACTTATCACAGTCACCACCCATTTGTTTACAGTAGCTCAAATGATAATTTATGTGGCCCAATTACTAAATTTGATGGATACAACTAAACAGGACTATCTTCATTTATAGACTAACACTACTTAATCTTTGTCAATAATTGAATTTGAAACACTTTTATATCTAGTGTACTTGCTTGGATTTTACATAAAATTGTGTTGTCATATTTGGAATTTGAAAAGTGTCATCTTTTAAAAAGTAATGTAATTGATTTGGTACAATTATCAAACTGGAAATCCTTAATTATAATTTTCAGATCATCTTTCTCATCCACCAGAGCTCTTCAGGTATTAAGTTCTTTACCTCATTCTCTTATTTCCATCTTTCCTTCTTGATCCATCTCTTTTGATACTGTCTATAATACACATCCTCATTTTACCTATTTCATTGGCTAATAATTAAAATAATCATATTTGGTTCATTAAAAATCATCACTATTACTTCTCTTTATATAATTCAAATTGATCTTAAATATATTTGATAATTATACATCTTTATCAGAAAATACTTTAATTCTTCAGTGTAGCATAAAATGATGTTTATATTCAAGCCTCATCCTAATTTGGCCTCCAAGCCTTCTCTTCCTGCCTTTATTAATTTCTTCTTCCCATTAAATTAGTATCTCAAAAGTCCTTTGATCATATATAATATCTGACAACTAACTTGCAACAGCCTTCAAAAATGCTATTCTTTAGGCTACATTTTATTTTCTCTAGAACTTTTATCTTTACATCACAGATCCTTTGTATTGCATTCCAAATACAATGTTTTCTCATACTTTTTTATATATGAGTAGAGCTGTAGTGCAGAATTATATAAGCTATCCTTAATTCTACAACTCTCAGAAGTGCACAAGCAATATCATCTGTTTTAGTATGCTTGTTGGATTGGTTTTTAGGTTATATTTTTCAACCAGGAAAAACCTCTGCATTGTCAAAACTAGAAGGTATTGAAGTGCTTCTATTGAAATGTAACAGATCTTGCACCACCTCTATAAAAATCATTATTTTCCACTGTTTCTGTTGAGAAGTCTGAAATTATTACATCTGGATGTCTAAGTTATGTTTTTACAGTGCAACTTTTTTCTAATTTAGCAATTTTAAGCATCATCTATTGATTCTTCTACAAAAGACAGGAAACTACAACCACCGTGCATTACATCCTCTTTTTCCTTCATTTGTGTAAAGTTAAATTTATCTGCTGTTGTGTACACAAGTGTATTTCCTTAAATGTTCTTGAAACTTAGTTTTGATGTAAAACAGTTTATCTGTGATGCAAAAATTTATTTGGATGATAAGGCATTTATACTTCTAATTATCTGTTAGACTATGTTATGTATCATAAAGGAAATAAGTATCATTAAACGTCCTTTGAGAGTTTCCAATCTTTAACACTTATGGTGATATTAGTAAAAGTAAACAAACAAATAATAAATTGAATTCATATTGCCTATACTTTAAATGAATATAAAATACAGGTTTGTGTTTGACTCTGAAATTATAAAATTTATGGTTTTATAGGTTAGAAGTCAATTTCCTAAACCACAATGCAATATCTGATGAGCAGGTGATGTTTCCAGCAATTCTGTCTTACTGAATATTAATTTTGCATTCCCAAAAGTCTAGTTCTACTCACTTTTGGTTTTGCAGTTTTAGATATCAATAAAAATGTGAAAAATATATGAAGTTTTCTTTCCAAATAGTTTTTATCCAGCTTATCTAAAACATTCTTTTTCTCATATTCCCCCTCTTTTCTCCCTTTCTCTATTTGTATATATCAATCCTCTACTGGTCCCTGCTCTGCCTTACACTTTTCCTTTGTGTGTGTGTGTGTGTGTGTGTGTGTGTGTGTGTGTTTCCTTTGTGTGTGTGTGTGTGTGTATACACACACACACATATATATATATATAAACATAACTGTAAATTTATATATTGATAATATAATTTAGAGGGATATTTGTTAGCAAATGAACCCTTAAATTTGTAGTTTATTCAAAATTACCATTTGGAACACATTATACATTACAGATGCATTTATTTTTTAAATAGAAATTCAGTTAAAATGATACAGTTGAAATTCTAGTGGAAGAAAAAGTTTATGCTAACAGCTTCATTTTTAAAGTTGGGCTTTCTTTTCTTTTACACAGCATGACCAAAGCTTTCAAATGCATTTTGCTCCTGGCAATGCCAACTTTTACCTATCATTGCTGATTAAAAATCCTGTGTCCCTTGTATTTGTGCATGCACACCTTTCTAGAAAAGTAGAGAAGCATGGGTCCTATTTATATTTTATTTGATCATATTCTCTTTCCTGAGTAGTTTTGTTGGAAATTCAGGGAAATATAAAATTTAGGAGAGAAATAAACTTTGTATGCATTAAATATACACACATATCAATAAATGCATTTCAGATTTGAATTAGACTCTTCTGCTTTTGATAATTAAATGTGTGGATATTTTATAGTATATGCTTTATTTCACTAATTTGTGATTAAAAATAAATTTTGTTTCATAAAATATTATCACACTTTCAATCACTTACATATGACACTGTATAAATGAGAAAAATAACAGAAAAGTGTGATGTTTTCCTACATCATATTTTATTGTACATAATTTACAAATATATTTTTATTTTAAATATCTCCCTGAATATGTTTAAGAATAATATTGGACATCTTTAAAGCAGGACCAGTATAGTAAAATTAATAATTTTATTTAATTACAGTTAAATATTTTTTCTAATATACTTAAACTCTTGGTAATGTAATCATTGATAAATGTATGCTTATATGGAAAATGACCAACATGAAACTAACTTTAAAGAGAAGAAGAATGTAACTCTGTAATTCTTTCTTTCCAATTAAAAATATTTATTATGTTTTAATGAAGCTTCTTTTTACTGTAAACATTTTCCTTAACTCAGTTGCTCCAGGTAGTTACAGGGATTAGAATCTTCCTATTTACTTCTTTCTATGCAAAAATTATAAAATCGTAAGCATTTGTCACAATCCATTAAAGAAATATATGTAGTATACCTCTTGATATAGTCCATATTATCCATTTAGAATCCCCTAAACATGGAATAATCTATAAAATAATTATTGTGTCATTTTTAATGTTTACATTTGTCTCTCCAAAAGCCAGTTGGGAAATAGAAGTGAAAAATACTTCATTTAACAGATCCTCTTTTCCTATGTCATTGATTCACTATATCATCTTTTAGAATTTGTCATCAGGCATATAAAACAATATTCAAAAAAAGGAAAAAAAAACATATGCCTCCTATATTTAAAAACTGGTGATTCTTAAAAAAAAAAAATCCCTGGCACAGAGTTGAATAAGGAAAAATGAGTTAGGTAAGGACACATTTGATGGAGAAACTTCTCTTAAAGCAGACAGTAATTTTTCTACTCTCCAATGTAGAGAATTGAAGTATGTCAAACCCACTCATTTTTTTTCCTCTGATTAGTGCCACTCATTTGATAGATAATTCCAATAGATAAATTGAGATATATCAATCACAATGATTTTTGACAAATTAGCAACAATATAAATGATTTTATTATATATAATCTAGAACATTACAAAAGGTGAATTGTTAAAGCAATAATATAATCTTTATCATCCAATGTCACTTTACCAAAAATGATAAAGTAATTCCACAAGGTCACTTTCTCTATAAATATTACAGAAATATAATTTAAATTGATTTTGTGTTTTTGAGAACATGGTTAAATCTTTAAATATTTTTGCAGGTAAAGGATTGAAAGAATTTTTAGGATAAATGGTTATCTTTAAAAACCTAGCCCTTACTGACCTTACTAAGAAAAATACAGTTGAATCTAAAGCAAAATACAATTCATATTTCTACTGTGTGCTAGAGATTGATGTTTATACTTCCCCAAAATTTCAAATGTTGAAATCTATTCCCCAGTGTGATAGTATTTGGAGGTAGGGCTTTTGGCAGATGAGTAGGTTCTCAGAATAGAGACTTTTTTTCTGGTATCTGTACCCATACAAAGAGAAACCAGAGAGACACTCACCTCTTTCACTGTGTGAGGATGCAGCAAGAAAGTGAACCAGAAAAGAGGTCTTGTCACAAACACAATCTGCTAGTGTCCTAATATTGGTCTTCCTCACTACCCGAAGCCCAGGGGATAAATTTCTGCTCATCACAGCTCAGTCTTTGTTATAGGAATCTAAGCCGACTAAAACTCAGGACATGGTGCTGGACTCACCAGAGAAAACATCTGATGAATTCTTCACCAGGATTTTAGATAATAGAATCCATTTATGATGACAAAAGTGTCTTTTGATGTAAGCAAAACTCTTTGCTGTTTGTCTTCACAAAAAAGGTTGTTTCATTTTATAAAATAAAAGACATTATCTATTGAAAATGTATTCTGATTTCATATATATTAAACTTTGAATAAATGTGCATCTTAGAAAAGATTAAAGACAAATAGAGCACCAGTTTAAAACTAGACCCCCCCAAAAAAAAACCAACAATGACAAAAACAAAAGAATTTATTTTACTTAATGTGAATGAATAAGCATGAAGGAAAACAATAAACCAGCCAGTAGCATGTACAAAGGCAGCACGTTTTGTCATCTTGGAATTGTAGTTCTGCCCTGCAAACCCACAATTGCCACATAATATTTTAAGGTTGTGGTGGTTTTAGATACAAGAAAAAATATATTTTATAAACATTTTGAATGATGAAATGTTGAGCAAATTTTAATGAGCATACCTACAACATTCTCATTTTTTATACTTTTAGTGAAAGTCCAATACATTAAATACAGCCTTGTCCTTTCGTTTATAAAAAAGATGTGCATTATGTTTCATGGAGATACTCAATTTTATCCTACTTTAATCATTTTTTTAAGAAAGCAAATAATAGTGTCATTTGATATGGAAGATGTGTAATTTACCATGTTTCAATTAATATGAGTAAAAGTTGGATATTTTTCTGCTTATTAGAAGCTGGCTTCAAGAGGAGTTTTCTGTAATATGTTGCTTTCTTGTGCAATATATTATATATTCAAAAGACCACTGGTTGTACTTTTATTTTTGAACATGTAGGATAATTGTTAGTAAGTAATTTAATCACAATTTTGTTTTATCAACTTTCATGAAATATTATTAACTATATCCGAGGTGTTTATTTTTTACTGAATTTAGAGAAAAGTACACAGATGATCCATTTCTGCCAGAGACAAAACTCCTCCAATATTTGTTCAGTTTAACAACTCCCCAGGAGCCCAGTCAGAATTCCCTATTAACTCCAATCTACTTCGGGACTCTACTTAGGTAACAATCATTTCCCCCCACACTTTGATCTTTCATAAAGGTCACAACTGCATGTCAACTTGGTAGCTCTACTTATCTTCATTCTCCTCCTCCTCATTCAGAAAAAATATCTTCTGATAAAACTCCTGCTGTACGATTTCATCTTTGTCCCAAAGAAAGCATTCTGGAACTAGTTAGTGGTGATGGTAAAACATCATTATCAAGGTACTACATGGTATTGAAAGGAAATTTCATGTGTATTTTATCACTACCATAAATGAATTGAAAGAAAATGAGGAAGGAAGATACATTTTTTTAAACTATTGACTTTTATAGTATGTATGGGATGCCATTTCAATGCCATATTTTATTGTTTCGTTTTTTTTTTTTGCTGAAGTTGATTACATGATCAAATCATTTTGAAAGAATTGGAGTTCAATAAAATTAAATAGTATTTAGTTAAAACAAGAACAAAGTCCATTGAGCCTGTCATTACTTTTGTATTTTCAATTTTTCTTGATTATTTTTAAAAAATTGAATGTATTCTTATTCAATTTTGAAACATAAATTCTATCATATTTCTTCCAATTGCTGTACAATATTATTCTCCCATCTAAACATGTAACAATTTTGAGTTTTGTTATGATATTTTTATTACAGACTGAAGGGTCAAATAATTTTAATAATTAGTATATAGTATTTAAAATGCAACCAGATGTTATTCAATAGCATGGGTTCCTTTTATATGGAATCACTGTGTAAATATTTAAAAATAAATCACAGGCTATCTTTTCATTTAATTTTTATTTTATTGTGAAATTTGCTAGGATTTTGCTAGAGATATAGGGTCAAGAGGTCCTATATAATGGCAAGTGAGTCCCAGATAGCCTGGAGGCTGACCAAAGACAGATTGTTCCTGAAAATTTCTTAGGAGAAAATCTGGTCTATTAGCTGATTCTGTTCCTCAGTGAAAAACTGTTATTTAGTGCTTATTTATCACATTATGATGCTAACATGCAGATAACAGATACCAGGTTCTCTTGGAATTCCACAATTGATAGGGTCTTAATTGTTCCATTTTAAAGCTTCTCATTTCTGTAGCAACTCTAAGGGAGAGAATTGTTTGAGAAAGGATTCGGTTCATCACCTTTGAAGTGCTTTCCAAACAGGCAGTAATAATTATGGGAATAAATGTTCACCTGAGTCTAATAATTCTTTTGTTCAGCTCTCACTTTGAAAGTATACATTAGAACCATTATATTTTTCTAACATCTATTTCTAGTATTATGATTCACTTATATCAATGAATATCATCTTCAGAACAGCTATGATGTTTATGTTTTTTCTACCATGACTTTATTTCCTTCACAGAATATGTGAAACCATTAGATTTACATAATAACACAAATCCTGTTTTTGACCAGGGTAATAGAAATGTCAATCTTATGAAGTAGCCACTTTTAAAACAAATATTTTATACTATAATAACAATGGATAAATTCTGTAGGACAAGTCATGAAACCTGAGGATTGGTGTGAAGGAAAGAACACAGGTTGATGTCCATGATTTATGAAATACCAATATTATTATTGAAGATCTTGAAATGTTTAAACTGATAAAAATTAAAACATGAGGGTTGTCAATGAAAGATTGATTACAATTCATTTCTGAAGAAGAACCATGCAAAACATGTTGTAGATGAAACAGAACATATGTTTTGGGGGAACGTATGAGAAAGGTTTTTAAAGAAAAAGGAATATACTCTACCCTGCAAAATTTAAAGAGAAATCTGTTTTCAGAACAGATTGTGCCAACATTGGTTAGAAACACTAAATAAAACTTAAAGCTAAGTTTTAATTGAAGGTTGACATAGATGGCAGTCATCCACTA